CCATTTGTCTATTTTGGCTTTTGTTGCCATTGCTTGTGGTGTTTTGATCATGAAGCCCTTGCCCACGCCTATGTCCTGAATGGTATTGCCTAGGTTTTCTTCTAGAGTTTTTATGGTTTTAGGTCTAACATTTAAGTCTTTAATCCATTTTGAATTAATTTTTGTATAAGGAATGGATCCAGTTTCAGCTTTCTACATATGGCTAGCCAGTTTTCCCAGCACCATTTATTAAATAGAGAATCTTTTTCCCATTTCTTATTTTTGTCAGGTTTGTCAAAGATCAGATGGTTGTAGATGTGTGGTGTTATTTCTGAGGCCTCTGTTCTGTTCCATTGGTCTGTATATCTGTTTTGGTACCAGTACCATGCTGTTTTGGTTACTGTAACCTTGAACCTGACATCAAATTTTACTACAGAGCTATAGTAACCAAAACAGCAGGGTATTTTCATAAAAACAGACACATAGATCAGTGGAACAGAACAGAGAACCCAGAAACAAATCCACACACCTACAGTGCAGTCGTTTTCAACAAGGTGCCAAGAACATACACTGGGGAAAAGACAATCCCTTCGATAAATGATGCTGGGAAAACTGGATATCTATATGCAGAAGAATGAAACTATTACCCCTATCTCTTGCCATATGCAAAAAAACCAAATCAAAATGGGTTAAAGGCTTAAATCTAAGATCTCAAACTATAAAACTACTACAAGAAAACATTGGAGAAATCTTCAGGACATTGGTCTGGGCAAAAATTTCTTGACTGATACCCTATAAGCCCAGGCAACCAAAGCAAAAATGGGCAAATGGAATCATAAGTTACAAAGCTCTGCACAGCAAAGGAAACAATGAACAAAGTGAAGAGATAACCCCCACAGAATGGGAGACAATATTTGCAAACTCTCCATCTGACAAAGTATTAATAACCAAGATGCTTCAGGAGCTCAAACAACTTCATAGGAAAAAAATGTAATAATCCAATTTATAAAATGGTCAAAAGATTTGAATAGATATTTCTTAAAACAAGACATACCCATGCCAAACAGATATATGAAAACGTGCTCAGCATCACTGATCATCTGAGAAATGCAAATCAAAACTACAGTGAGATATTATCACAACCTAGTTAAAATGGTTTATATCCAAAAGACAAGAAATAGCAAATGCTGGATAGGATGTGGAGAAAAAGGGAAGCCTCATACACTGTTGGTGAAAATGTAAATTAGTATAACCATTAGGGAGAACAGTTTGGAGGTTCATCAAAAAACTAAAAAAAGAGCTATCATATGCTTCATCAACCCCACTGCTGGGTATGTACCCAAAAGAAAGGAAATCAGTATATAGAAGAAATATCTGCACTCCCGTGTTTGTTGCAGCACCGTTGACAATAGCTAAGATTTGGAAGCAACCTAAGTGTCCATCAACAGATGAATTGATAAAGAAAATATGGTACATATACACAACGGAGTATTATTCAACCATAAAAAAGAGTGAGATCCTGCCATGTGCAAGAAGATGGATGGAACTGGAGATCATTATGTTAAGTGAAATAAGCCAGGGGCATAAAGACAAACATCACATATTCTCACTTATTTTTGGAATCTAAAAATCTAAAGAATTGAACTCATGGACACAGAGAATGGAAGGATGGTTACCAGAGTCTGGGAAGTGTAGCTGGGGAGGTGGGTTGCGGGGGTAGGGAAGTGGGGATAGTTAATAGGTACAAAAAAGTAGAAAGAATAAATAACACCTAAATATTTGATAGCACAACAGGGTGACTATAGTCAATAATAACTTCATTGTACATTTTTAAATAATTAAAAGAGCATAATTAGATTGTTTGTAACACAAATGATAAATGCTTGAGGGAATGGATACTCCATTCTCCATGATGTGATTATTACACATTGCATGCCTGTATCAAAACATCTCATGTACAACATAAATATATATATCTACTATGTACCCACAGAAATTTTAAAAAAATTAAAAAGTGGAATCGAATCAAGTCTTTAAATCCAGTATCTATTTACAGAAAGAGATACAGAAACCAACTAACACCACAAAAGAACCGATCAGACAAATCCAGAGTGCACAATATTAGAATATCCTCTCCAGACAGCCAAGACAGCTGGCCCAGTTCTTCCAGCAAACCAAATGCATGCATATGCTTGTGTGTGTGTGTGTGTGTGTGTGTGTGTGTGTGTGTGTGTGTGTGAGAGAGAGAGAGAGAGAGATGGGTCTCCCACCGGTTACTTAAGGGTGAACGTCTGCTGCTTAAACCTTGAAGGCCAGGTGGTGAGCCAAGGCCATGGTGTCCAGCTGAGGAGCAGGTGTCGCTGAGAAATCAAACATCCCCAAAAGGATCTGAGAACCTACCAAGAGAAACAGCCTCTTTATAGGCACACAGCAGGCAAAGTGCCAGAAAATTAGCTTAAAAGCAGCTTAGAGACAGGAGGAGGTGCAGATCTCTGGAGCTGTTCTGCCGCTGTCCAGGAGTGCCCCATGTAAAGTCTTAATAAACTCATCTACTCACCAAGCTGAACTTGTTACAGTCACTCTTTGGCCTCTCAGCTCCCTCCCAGTTTGGAGGAAGGTTTTTCTATACAATTTTGAGTTTTTCTCATCAAAACTGGAGTCATGAACAGGATCCTAGATACCAAATGATGCGTGAGGGAGGGGCGTCTGCAGGGGGAATACTGGGGTGGCCAGCAACATGTATGTGGGGTGGAGCTGCCCAACTGCTCAAGCTTTGTGGGCCATCGCGTGAGTACCAGGATGCTCGGAAAACATAGACAAGGCCTCAGCACATATTGCCAGAAGCTAATGTATTAAAAGTCTGATAAGGAGAGCAGATGTGCTGTTTCTGTAAAAAGGCTGGATACTGAGGAATCATTAGAGCAGGAAAGGGAGAAAGGGTAGGAACACCTGCAGAAGTTCAGAGGTATGCCTGGTTTGCTAGGAATCCAGCTGATTACATATTATGGTCTATTCCTGTGCATATTTTAAGACTGATGGGCAAATTGAAAATAAAAATTCAGAGCTTAAATGGCTAACCTGCAACTACAGAGTTAATGAGAGTCTTCTACAACTATTTATCCCTTATTTTCTTTCCTGCCTGCTTTGTATCTGCTGTTGTTAAGCTACTGGTGTTGAGATAAAACTTACTATTTGTATTACTGCCAATTCAAGGTCACTTAGAGATTTGTTTGGTACAATAAGCCTTTAGTTAGACTGATCAAGCAAAAAATAGAAAAGATACAAATTATTAAAATCAAAAATGAAAGAGGAGACATTGCAATCCCTTTTAAAGATAACTCAGATGAAATGACAAATTCTTAGAAAAATATAAAATACTAAAACTGAAAAAATTGATAATATAAATAGTCCTATAACAAGTAAAGCAATTTAAGTACTAATATATATTTTTATAAATTCACAAAGAAAAGCCCAGATGCAGTTGGCATCACACAGTTCTACCAAACATTTAAAAATTAACACTAACCTTTCTCAAACTCTTCCAAAAACAGAGGAGGAAAGAACACCTTTAAGGACTCACTTTTACAGACCAGTATTACCAGATATCAAAGCCAGACAGACATCACAAGAAAAAAAAATTACAAAACAAAATCCCTTATGAATACAGCTATAAAAATAGAAATAAAATGCTAGCAAATTGAACCCAATAGCACATAAAAGCATTATATACCATGACCACGTGAAGCTTATTCCATGAATGCAATATTGTTTGAACACCCAAAAATCAATCAATATAATACATTGTATTAATAGAATGAAGAATAAAACTACATGATCATCTCAACAAATTCAGAAAAAGCATTTAAAAAACTCCAACATCCTTTCATGATTCAAAAAAAAAAACTCAAAAAACTAGGAATAAAAGAGATTTTATTTTATTAAGAGCAACTGTTAAAAAAAAAACAAAAAACAAAAAACAAAAAAAACCCCCACACTTCATACTTATTGGTAAAAGACTGAATGCTTTCCTGCTAAGATCAGGAACAACATAAGAATATCTATTCTTGCCACTGCTATTAAACATTGTACTGGAGGTTCTAGCTAGGAAAATTAGGCAAGGGAAGAAAAATATCTAGATTGGAAAATGTTTTAGGTTGAGCTGCCATAACCTATTATTCACAAATTGGATGGTTTAGAACAATAAAAGAGGATTGTATTCTCTTCCAGCTCTGGAGACTTGAGTCAAACATCTAGTTGTTTAGAGGGCCACACTCCCCCTGAAAGCTCTCAGGAAGACGCTTCCCTTGCCTTTGACTAGCTTTTGGTGGCTCCCAGTAGTAGTTGGCATGCCTTGGCTTATAGTTGAATCACTTCAGTCTCTGCCTTCATAGTTATGTGGCCTTCTTTTCTATGTGTATTTGTATTCTCTCTTCTCATTCTAAAGACTTTGGTCATTGACTTTAGAACCCACCTTAATCCAGTATGACCTCATATTAACTAATTATATCTGTAAAAACTTAATTTCCATAAAAGGTCATATTCTGAAGTTCTGGGTAAACATGAATTTTAGAAGGACACCAGTCAAGCCATTATAAAAAAGAAGTAAAACTATTTCTACCTGCAGATTTCATCAGCATGCTTGAAGAAAATCTTACGGGCTAGGTGCAGTGGCTCACATCTGTGATCTCAACATTTTGGGAGGCTGAGGTAGGAGGACTGCTTGAAACCAAGTGTTTGAGACCAGCCTTGTCAACATAGTGAGGCCCCATTTCTATTCTAATAAAAAAGAAAAAAGAAAATATTAAGGAATCTACTAGAATACTATTTGAGGTGATAAACAAGTTCAGTCAAGTTGTGGGATACAAGATCAATACAGATACAAGATACAAGATCAATATAGAGGTCACGTGACAGGGTGAGACTCTGACTTGTTATAAAAATAGTCATTGTATTTTCTTTTCTCTACAGATTTATCCTAATAAAGGAAAAAAACCTCTGCTTCGCAGGAAAAGTAAAAGAAGATGAGTTTTAACAGACTCCTTTCTGTAAAACTGAATGATGGAAACTCATGCCCGTTCTGGGGTTTGGCACCTCTGCTGCTAGGAAGGTAACCATAATGGCATTGGGGAAGGAGGAGCAGCAGGTGGTTCCTGACCAGAATTAGTCACTACGTGAGTCTGGGAAATTCAGGTGGGCCTCACTTTTCTCATTTGTAGGATACTTCTCACCAAGTTAGGTTACTTTGTGCATTAAGTAAGGGCTTTTCACGTTTTAGTAGAGATATAAACATTTGAGGATCTTGTTAAAAATGCACATTTGGAGGCCCTATCCCTGAAGGTTCTGATTGAGTAGATCTTGGATGAGGTTCTAAAATTCACATTTATAATTTATAATAAGCTCCCAAACGATTTTGATGCTGCTTGTCCAAAACCGTGCTTGGAGTGGCACTCCATCAAGATAGATGGAAGTGTGCATGCGATTGCTCAGAATTCAGAGGTGGGTAAGTTGGTTGCTGTTACTCTCTCTTGTTGTACAGTTGTAGCCATTTTCACCGTATATTAGAGGAAATAAAACCCTATTGACATGATTACCATGCTGTGCCAGAAACTTCACAGCAAACTTTAAAGTTGTGCTATAATTTTTAGTACCCAAGTCCTCCCTGTTCACCACTAATAAGAGTATCTAGAGAAAGTTCTGTAGCAAAGGAACTTGGGGAAAGAGAGACAGGCTTAGAGCGAGCTGTGTGGTCTGAGGTGGCCATGGTCTCTGAGAGACCAGGTTGGTAAGATGGTGCCATGAAAGAGTTACATGGTACTTGGAAAAAATCTCGTCTTTGGCTCCATGCCATGTTTCTGGATCAAATACTCCAAACTTACAAGGGCACATATCAGTAGTTCTTGCTGAAGAATGTTATAAAAGTTGCAGGATTGTTTCCCAACACGAGAGAAACATGGTGTGTACCACTGAGGACTGCAAAGAAGACTCTCATGCAGTATTGCTTTTGCCATGCCTTGGCTCTTTAACCTGGGGATAGTTTATCTTCATGGACTCAGTTGACTCAACCGTAGTTGGAAGTGAAACAAATATACCCAAAAGGCATTATAATTACTGAGTGAAGTGTAGAGGTGCTAATATAAATGGAAAAATTATGGATGACTTCAAGAGTCCAGGCTGGTGGGCCAGGAGATTAAAAAAAATATAAGAAAGATGTGAAGGAGAAAGTGTTGCCTAAGAACCAGCAAAGCAACCAAAAGAAGAATTAATTACGAGGGTTTTTTAAGTGAAAAATCAGTTTTTCTTTTACAATAATTTTTTATTTTAAAAATAATTTATTTTAAAATATTTTAAAAGAAAATAGCTTTTTTCTTTTAAAAGCTATTTCTTTTAAAATAATGTTTTAAAACTATTCCTATTTTTATTCTTCCTCAAATGTTCTGTTTTTCCAAGTTTAGATAGGTAAATTAATAATTTATTGTGTCTAAAGTTATATCTTTATGTGGATAGACAACTATTAGAACTAAATTATTGGATCAAAACCAATTTTATAACCTCTTATAGAGCAAATTAAGTTAGGAATGTAAATCTATAGATTGTGCAAATCTATAGATCATAAACATACTATAAATACATAGAGATTTAAAGACTGTGATGTGCTCATAAGGACTCAAAAGAGTGTATTGTGAGCATCCTTGCCCAATTTAGCAAGCTTGAACTCATCCATAGTGGGAGTATTTACACTATAGAAATTGGCAAATACTACAAACCAGGACTTCCTCAGAGCTAGTTGCTAAACACTTACTATTGATTTTTACTCAACATTTAGCTTTGCCACCTCTAGCTCTTAGCCCTTAGTAGGGGGAAAAAAGGTTCTTTTGAATATCTCTGTTAAGAGAATTGATCATCTGTTCCTGAGTCAAACAAATCTTTATCTCTTTATGCTCTTCCAGGTTACTATGAGTAATGTAGAAGAGGCCGTCCAGGTAGCAATTGATGTAGGCTACCACCATATTGACTCAGCTTATTCGTACCTGAATGAAGAAGCCATCGGGCAGGCCATCCAAAAGAAGACTGCCAACGGCACTGTGAAGAGAAAAGATATATTCTATACCACAAAGGTGCTGTGTACCAATGCATCTGTTTCTGCGGAGAGCTCACTCTTAGCTGTAGAGCTCCTTGGCAAATTTCTCTTCATTGGTTTAATCTTCATCTACTCAGACCTTGCGTCATGAGAAGTCTGGTTAGGAATGTGAATTCTGTAATGAGACTTTTATATTTGAATCCAGGCTCTGCCACTTATTAAATGTGTGACCTTCCCTAGTCTATAGCAAGTGTAAAAATAAATGAATATGTGCGACCTTCGACAAACTACTAAAATACTATCCTTCAGTTTCCCAAGTTGTAAAACAGAGACAGTATTATTTATGTCACAGGATTTTCATGAGTGTTACACTTTTAAAAACACATGTAAATCTTGCTGAAAAGTATCTGATAACATTTCAGATGCTCAAAAATGCTGTTATTATTATCATATGTTTTAACTCAGAAATGATTTGACTTTTCCTACTCTACGATAGTCAAGTTTTGACAAAGTGACTTAATCTTTCTTAGCTAAAAGTATGAAGTAATGTGATTTAGTCAGAAAGCATAGGCTTTGGAAACAGATGAACTAGGATCAAATTTTAGTTCTTGAATATTCCATTTGACTTGGTGAAATTTCTTAACCAAAAAAGTTTTTTAACCTCTCTGAGCCTTCCTCCTGACATCCCCACCCATTTTGTGGTCAATAAATGTTTACTGTTTATTTCTCTGAAGATTAAGTTAATGTTTATAAATGTACTTATGTACTTTTTAAACCCTTGAGCCATTTTCTTCTATTAATAATATTCTTCATATTCACTGGCATTATATCCAAAACAAATAAAATAACTTATGTATTTAAGTCAGATAGGGAAAGGAACTCCAAAGCAATTTTTACCCTAGTATTCACTGACCTGACTACTGCTAGAAAAAACAAAAAACAAAAACCATTTAAACGTGAGGGGAAGTAGTCCACAGAGATAGCACTTAGGCCCGTGCAAGTGAATCCCATGCAAGTTGATTTAAAAAAAAAAGTTTCTTCCTTCCAGCCCAGCATGTGACATATGACTGCCTTTAGCTGTGCAGTAGCTATGGCACCAGCCTTCTCAGTCCCATCTTTTAATTCTCCTTTCGTACTAAATGTGTGACCCTTCATATAAAACATTGTACGAAACGTTGGTTTCCTTAGTTTTAGTCATTTTGATGATTTCTTCCCCTAGATGACTGCCTCTTAGAATGAGGTAACTGAAGCACCCAAAAAAGATTTCTCCTATGGGCCTAACTTTCTTTGGGAAACCTAACCATTTAATACAGTCAAGCCAGGGCCTACTGAATCACCATCAGTTCAGGCTATTGTCTGGCAGGCATTTTCCCAGTCCACTCTCCAGATGTTGTGATTTATTACGTTTGGAGTAGAACCCAGGAATGTGTTTTGTACAAGCAAATCAGATTATTCTTTTACCTTCTAAAGTTTGAGAATCTCTGCTGAAACCCATATTTTTTTTCCTACATTTATTGGCTTTATTCCATATGAAAATCTGCTATGATAATTAAGAACTTACACATTCACTGGGAGTAACTTGTCACTTCTCTAAGATGGCTTGGCTGCTGATGTTTATTTGCCATTTCACTAAGCTCTCTCGAAGACTTTTGAAGAAATAATCTCACACAACTTCTCTTTCAACCATTGTAGGTGTGGGGCACCTTTTCCCACACAGAATTGGTCCAAAGAGGCCTTGAAATGTCACTGAAGAAACTTCAGCTGAGCTACATGCATCTTTACCTTCTTCATTTCCCAGTACCTTTGCAGGTTAGCACAAGTTGTTTTAATTTGGTGATCAACATAAATATTAGTAACTGAATGCAAGAGGGGAATTAGTTTGTGAGGATGAGAAGATAAATAATACTTGAAGATTCTCCCTTGTGCTTTTTATTTTTCTGAAACTGTTCCAAAGTCAGTTCACAACTCTAGCCCCAGAGTGACAGGAGTTCACTGGTATCCACGGCTTTGCCTCAGTGTTGTGGATGTACTGCTGACATTTTCAAGTTCTTATCCCCTGGAGTCTCAAACCCATGTCGCCGACAGTGGAGTTCAGTTTAGGAACAGGAAGTTCGGTGAGGACGAGACTCAGCTTTGAATGCTGACAAGTCACTGGCAAGGAGACAGCTCTTCGCAAGGGTCCAGGACCAGGGGGCCTGCTAGGCACCATAACACCCCAGAGTCTGCCTGGGAGGGGATCCAAGTGCTTCAGCTTAGCCTTGACACAGTCAATATTTATTGAATCTGTAACGTTCGAAAGCATTTCTAGAACGCATATTTCCTGCATGTACTTCCCTAGCCATTAGCCTAATTTTACAAATCTGTTCAAGAATAAGGACAGATGGTTCTATCAGTCTCAAGGTTTATGGGCCCCAAGCTTGGCTGAGGCCAGACAGAGCTTTGTGCAAACTCTCTTTCTTTTCATGTTCCAGCCTGGGGAGGAGATTTTGCCGATGGATGCACAGAGAAAGATCGTTTTTGACACAGTGGATCCTGCAGCACATGGGAGGTGAGTGCAGCTCCAGTGAGCCCAACATCTCTGCACCTTGGGAGAGAGAGGAAAAATGGACAAGGAATTCAGGAAACTGGACCTGGTCTAATTCTGCCCACTGTTCAGACTGGGGAGAGTCCCCGAATGTCTCTCTGCCTCTGTTTTCACATTTCATCCACTTAATCATCCAGCAAGTATGTATTGAGTGCCTAGGGTGTATCAAGTTCTATTCTTCTTACCCAGGCAACATCAGTGAACAGAATCAGGGTGTTGGCCCAGGCATGGGTAGGTGGTGTGGTAGGTGGGGGTGAGAAATAAAGCTGAGCACTGGAGTTGGTTTGGGGCACAGACTATCAATGAAAAACAGAGTGGCAGGGTAGGCCTCTTTGAAAGCAGAGGTGGGTGAATCACGACGTCAGGAGATCGAGACCATCCTGGCCAATGTGGTGAAACCCTGTCTGTACTAAAAACACAAAAATTAGCTGGGTGTGGTGGCATATGCTTATAATCAGGACGCTGAGGCACGAGAATTGCTTGAACCCAGGAGGTGGAGGGTGCAGTGAGCAGAGATGGTGCCACTGCACTCCAGCCTGGTGACAGAGTGAGACTTTGTCACCAAAAAAAAAAAGTGGACATTTGAGCAAAGAATTGCAGTAGATGCAGGAATTGATTGTGTGGGTGTCTGGGGAAAGAGTGATGCAGGCAGAAAGAAAGACAAGGCAAAGTTTTTCTTTAGTTTTTGTTTCTTTAGACGGAGTCTTGCTCTGTCACCCGGGCTGGAGTGCAATAGTGTGATCTTGGCTCACCACAAGGTCTGCCTCCTGGGTTCACGCGATTCTCCTGCCCTCAGCCTCCTGAGTAGCTGGGGTTACAGGCACTTGTTACCATGCTCAGCTAATTTTTGTATTTTTGGTAGAGACGGGGTTTCACCATGTTGGCCAGGCTGGTCCAGAACCTCTGACCTCAGGTGATCCACACACCTCAGCCTCCCAAAGTGCTAGGATTACAGGAGTAAACCATCACACCGGGTCACGGCAATGTTTTTAAGAGGGGAGAGACACTAGCGTGTCCAAGAACAGCAAGTGGACATGTGAGATTGGACATGGTGAGTGAGTGGACAGTGCAGGGAATTAGGTCAGAAAGCAGAAGCTGGTGGGCCTGTAGGTGGAAGGCCTGCCTCTCGGGCCACACCTGCTACACTTCCTGTTCTCTTGGCACTTGTTGGTACTTGTTTTGCCATTGCTCCATCAAACTTTTCTAGGTATTCACTAAAGACCATGCTGGTTCCTTTAACTCTGTCCTGGCCACTCACTCACATTTTTTTTTTTTGAGACAGAGTCTCAAAAAAATGTTGAGGGACAATTTATTGGATATCAGGAGTCGCAGCAATGAAGAAAATGGGAATATTCCTTAAAAATAAGGAATACCGAGATTAAAGAACCATTTCTTGAGCAGAAATTGCTGCTCGTTATACATAAACAATAAATGAACAAGAACCAAAGACGTCACCATGGTTTTCAGTCTGGGAGACTGAAATTCTCTTTTGGTCTTGTATACAACCTGCCATCTAAGAGCACTGAGTTAATTATTTAATCAATACTGCTATGCCCTCTATGGGCTGTCATCCCAAAGTAAAGCCCATGGGAGCCTCATGGGTACAGCTGTGGATGACAATCATGGCTTGGCCTGTGTTGCTGGTATTCTAAAAGATGTTTGATACCATGCAATGTGGCGCTGCATGTCCCTGGTAAACTTGGTGGTGGTGGTTCTGTAACCTAATTCTCTTGCTTGGCATTCTGCAGGTGGAATGTCACCCTTACCTCAACCACAGCAAACTCCTGGAGTTCTGCAAGTCCAAGGACATTGTCATGACTGCACATTCTGCCTTGGGGTCTGACTCAGACAAGGAATGGTAATAATCTTCATAAAGTCATTTTGTTTTATTTATTTTTTTTAGATGGGGGTCTCACTCTGTCATCCAGGCTGGAGTGCAGGGGCACAATCACAGCTTGTTGCAGGCTTGACCTTCCAGGATCAAGTCAGGATCTTCCCTCCTAGACCTCCTGAGTAGCTGGGACTACAGGAGTGCACCACCATACCTGGCTAATTGTTTATTTTTATTTTTGTAGGGACAGGGTCTCACTGTGTTACCCAGGCTAGTCTTGAATTCCTGGGCTCAAGGGATCCTCCTACCTTGGCCTCCCAAAGTGCTGGGATTAGAGGTGTAAGCCACCTTGCCTGGCCCGTAAAGTTATTTTAATCACAGATACTATACCTTCTGAAGTAATCTCTCAATTATCTGGGGGAAATTAAAATAGATAGCAGGAGTAAATTAACTTGTAAACCTTTTACCTAACCCAGACCTACATTATAAGAGCTGAATAGAACTGCCACCTTCCATTCCTTTGTTCTTCTTCTTTGGATATAACAAAAGAAGCAAAACATATTAAGACAGCCAGAAGGTCATGAGGAAAGTTCTAGAGGATTAGCATCCCTGACCAGAATAAGCAGCTCCCAAGTAAAATGGATATTCAGCCTCAGACTTGCAGCATCTCTGCCTCTCCTTTCAGGGTGAAAAAAGGCAACCCAGTTCTCCTGGAGGATCCAATACTCAATGCCATTGCTGAAAAGCACAGGCGAACTCCAGGCCAGGTTGCCTTGCGCTACCAGCTGCAGTGGGGGGTGGTGGTCCTGGCGAAGAGCTTCAATGAGAAGAGAATCAAATAAAACTTCCAGGTACAGGGCAGGGTGGTGGCAGCAGGAGATTGACAGAGACACATCATTTCCCCATGGTATCTTTTGCAAAGCTCTCAAGGTATATTTGGGCAGTTTATCTCCTTTTACACTCTATGCATATAAGCACCATATTTAATGGCTTTGTCTCCCAGTGCTGCAACGGAGAGTATGATGGTTGGAAAGAGCAGAGGTCAGGAGAGGGTCCTAATCCTGGTTTTTCTCCTACAGTATGGTGCTGAGTAAGTCATCCCTTGATTTCTATAGCTGTCAAATGAAGGAATTAGATCATGTGAGGTTTGGGCTTAAAATTCTCTAGGATTTCTTTGCTATAATGACGGCTCCCCAATAAAAGTCTCTGAGGGAAGATTAGCGATGACAATCTCAACTTTATAAATGGACAAATTCCCATGACATGCCACTGAATGAATCCTTGGTCCATGACAACTCACTCATAAAACCTACACGAAGTCCTACATGGATTTGTGTGTTTTGGAGAGGGGAGAAAAGGAACAGCAATTGCCTCAAGGATATTAAAACTGATCTTCTCACATTTCTGACAGGTTTTTGACTTCCAGCTGACACCAGAGGACATGAAAACAATAGACGGCTTGAACAAGAATATATGCTATTTGGAAATGTCTATGTAAGTAGCTTGTTTCATTGTTGACACTAGGCAGGAGGACAGTGGGGGAATTCAACTGATTTCAGTCCACAGAAGGCAGGGTCTGTTGCTTAGGAAAGTTGTTGGAAAGCATTTTTTCTTCAGACTTCAGATCAGAGATTTTTATTTCTCCAAGGCTCAGGGCTCTGCCCAGACAAGAGTGTGAGCAGAATTCAATACAGACTGAAGCTCCCTGTTAAAGACTGGGCTCTCCTGGCTCCAGGCTGCCTCCATGTGTCCCTCATCACTAGGCTTCCCTCCAATCTGCATGCTAATAATTCCATGGTTTCTATCTCTAACCCAGACATTTTTCCTGGTCTCCTGTAGCCCACTGATTTTCTTTAAAATTAAAATTCTCTAGAGATAGTTCTATTTATTCCTACAGTTCAGACTTAATATACTTAAAATTAAAGCCTTCAATGTTTTCTCTATATATACTCTTCATGGTAATGCTACAATTAACATTTTCTTTTAAATTAAAATTCCCTAGAGATAGTTCTATTTATTCCCAAAATTCAAACTTAATACACTTAAAATTAAAGCCTTCAATGTTTTCTCTATATGTACTCTTCATGATAATACTACAAATATCACCATTATGGCACAAATACCACCCCCTACATCTAAATAACCACCTAGTCCTGTTGATTCTATATTTCAACATTTCTCATGTTGATTCTAAATTTCAACATTTCTCATGTTTCCCTAATTTCCATAACAAAGCCCACCCCCTCTGATTCAGGTTTTGAACCCGAATTGACTCTCTTGCAAGGCTGGCCACAGGGGTGGATCTTCAGCTGTGGTTTCTGAACAATGTTCAGAACTTCGCTCAGGTCTGGGGGGTTCTCAATAGTAAAGAGTAAGCAGGTTTGGAAAGTCAGGAAGAAAAAAGGGAAGAGGCTGAGTATCAAGCAAATGGAGGTGATAATGAAAATCCAATGGTAGGAAAAAAGTTCTTTCCAAAGATAGACTTTTAATGACCCTTCAAACTTTTGGATTCTATGATCCTCAGAAGGCTGTAGAGAAAAATCTGTAAGTTATTTTTTCTTCTGTTCAGTGACATTTAGTACATTTATGTATGTAAACATCTCCAAACACGGGAAGAGCAAGGAATCCAGTAGCTCCTGGACAGACTCCCATCCTCCTCTGTTCACTAGCCCCTTAACTCCCTTGAGGCTATCATGGTCTTTGTTACTATTAGTTCAGTCAC